GGTCTGATTCGTTGAGCATGCCCTTTTTACCCGCACTTTTATGGGACGAGTAAAGATTTTAGGCCCACACTCTTTAATGTGTGTCCCAACCCATCTTGTTTTTTTTTTGCCGGTGTGAACATTAACATAGATTTTGGCATTTTTAAGCTTAAAAGATGCAGTGTCGGCAGATCCGCCCCATCCTCATTTTTCGCGGGGCACTTCAAGGTTTTTAACACGTACCCTCAACTATGCCTGCCTTGCTCCACCATTGTTTTTGTAGGGAGATCTAAGTTTTTAGACCAGCATCCTCAACTATAGTCGCCCGACCCCACCATCATTTATGCAGGGAGTGTTAAGGTTTTAGGTCTGAACTCTTAACTATGCCCCCTCCGTATTTTGTGTGATGGACCTAAATGGGGCATGCAATGCTTGTTTTCCACCACTATTGGCATGATGTGACATGACAACATATAATATTTTATTTTTGGGTAGGCATGTCACCTTTCATTATCTTGTTTACTCGGGTTGGAGTTATGAATCAGTTGGAGTCAAACTTTAGGCCCACTAGGGGTGACAATTAATCACGTGTTCAATCTTCTACCTAACTTTGTGTTTTAGATACTAAGTATTGATTCAAAGTCAATGTTTATTAAACCCTATCTAGTGTAGACTCATGACCTTTTTTAATTTACTCTAATCCTCCTATTCCCAAGCACGAGACTTGATATGAATAAAGTGTTTAAAGATATTATTCTAGTCCTCTAAATTTTTAATCTAAGTCTATGACCCTTTAAATTATTTATACTCTAACCCAATTATCAATAAAAACAATCTTAAAAATTCATTAAACTCTTTCACATCTTACAAATTCACAAAATATTTTAAAATCTTGAAAATTTGTATTATAAATTCTTTAAAAATTCAAAGTAAAAAAAAATCGATTATAACAATTTTTAAAAAAAAATCTAAAAAGTCAATAGGACCTTACAAAATATTTTAAAATCTCTACAAAAATTTATGGCAAAATACCCTTTTTAGTCCTTTAACTTTACCTCTAGATCCATTTTGGTCCCTTATCTTTAAAAAGTTCAAAAGTGGTCCTTTAATTGTTCAAAAAGGGACACATTTATCCTTTCCGTCTGGACAGTTAGTCAAAGTCAAAGGTAAAGCTTATGTGGCATATATGTGGCATTGCACGTGTTTACATTTTCGTCTAGATGGATTAAAGTATTTTAAAAAAAGGGTTAAAGTATTGCATGGGTTAAAGGATCAGATTACATCTCCAACACTTTGAAGGTAATCCTAGGGAAGCAATTGTTGATAGCTCCATTCTGTGAAGAATCTGCGAGCGAAGTGAAGGCACAGTTCGTTCTTGAAGGTGAAATCGACCACAACATTGTTCATCGTAGGTAAGTTTCTGCAAAACTATGATTTTCGTAGTTAGGGTTTTTTGAAATCAATCTTTCTGAAATCTAATATCTTCCTGTCCATTTAGGATATAATCTGAAATGGATGAATATTTGAACATTACAATACACCATAGTGGAAAATTTGTTACTGAGGACATGAGTGTTTACGAAGGAGGTGAGGTTGATGATTTGAGAGTAGATGTTGATAAGTGGAGCTATTTTGAATTGATAGGTGCTATTAAAGAGCTAGGTTACGCAGATGTATAGAATATATATTATAGGGATCCTACTGTTGGGATGAATATGTTGGTTGATGATAAGGGGGCATTAGAGATTGCTGGTATATATAGGGTTCATCTTAGTGTTGAAGTCTTTATTCAACACACATTGTCAAAGCCTGATTATGCTGATGAGACTGAAGTTGTGTTAGATGAGGTACCCCTTAATGTGATAGTTGATGAGGCAGAAGTTGTGCTTGAGGAGATGTTGAATGAAACTGATGGAATGGAAGATGGTGTTAGGGAAGATGGTGTTAGGGAAGATGATGTTAATGCAGTAGGAACTGGTGATAATATGCCAATGGTTGATGAGGTTGAAAGTGATTATATTGGACATAGGGCTAATGAGGTTGATGATGTTGTTAGAATGACTGATGATGACGATGATAGTTATGATGATAGCACCTTTAACTATGATAGTGCAACAGAGGTAGTATTTGATGATGACTCTGATGAGTATGACACTGATTTGGAAGAGGATGAGAGTAACCTAATTAACTATGAACACATGGAAAGCAAAAAAGGTAAAGAAAAGTGTGAAGCAAACAAAGAAGATAGCAAAAGAAGTGATAATGAAAGTGATGATCTAGGAAGTGACTGTGATAATGATGATAACAGTAGAGTTAGGAAAAAGAAGTATCCAGTTTTCAAGCTTCAAAAGGATATGTCCAATTACAAATGGGAAGTGGAAACATACTTTAGTACATCATAAACTTTCAAGGAAGCCATTACCTCTTATGCAGTTCAATCTGGAAGAAATTTAAAGTTCATTAATAATGACAAGACCGGGATTAGGGTTAGGTGTAAGGAAGGATGTGAATGGGAATCCTATTGTGCTAAATTGTCTACTGAGGATTCTTGGCAACTAAGAAAGGTAGTAGATACTCATAGTTATAGTAGAGAATATAATGTGAAGTTAATAAAGACTAAATGGTTGAGCAAGAGGTTGCAGAATTCACTTAAAACCAACCCTAGAATGAAAATTAAGGACATTAAGGAGAAGGTACAAAAGAAGTGAAATGTGGGGGTCAACAAAACCAAGGCCATAAGGGCTAGTTTGCAGCCAGAGACATGATTAATGGGTCATTCCTAGGGGATTATGCAAGGATTATGACTATGCACACGAGTTATTAAGAGCTAACTCAGGGTCAACTGTAAAAGTGAATGTCGAACCTGCACAAGAAGGTGGTGTTCAGAAATTACATTTCAAAAGGATATACATATGCTTGGCAGATTGTAAGGAAATCTTTAAGTTAATCAGACATTTCATTGGACTTGATGGATGTTTTTTGAAAGGCCTTTGTGGGGGTCAAATACTTGCAGCCATAGGCAGAGATCCCAATGATTAAGAATCCCAGCCAGCTTAGGCATCTCAGTCAACTGCTTCTCAATCATCCAAAAAAGTGAATCCAAAATTCAAAAAGTTGCAAGTTAGAAGGCCAAATGCACCTTTTGTCTCACCTGGTCCAACAACTAGGTTGAATACATCTAAAATTGTTGTAGATCCAACAACAAGAAGGACGACACCTACTAAGAGAGTCACAACAAAATGGAAAGCTTAGATTAGTATCTTTAATATAATAGTTCTGTTAGGTTATGTTAAATTTAGTTAAGCTATTTTAAAGTGTTTTGAACCTGTACTATATAGTGTTGTTTTGGACCTGTCATATCAGGTTTCTTGGACATGTAAAGTATGGTTTTTTGATCTATAATAGTTGTGTTTTGGGGCCTGTAATATCAGGTTATTTGAACATGAAATTTATGAATGTTAGTGGTATCCACCACCTTATGTATTGTTGTTGACTTCATTCAATTGATTTTGTATATGTTATGATATGATTTCATTCAAAATGTTACACCAGTTACTAGAATTTACAAAATTCATCGAAAATATAGTTCTAAAATTACACCACTTTCATACTAGAATTTACACCAGTTTCATATAGTTGCATACTGGAATTTACAACAGTTCCAAAGTTCATTACAAAATATTACAAATAAAATATACAAATTCATCAATTAACAACATCATCTTCTTTTCAAATGATATTACAAATGATACTGGAATTTACAACATCACCCAGATGACAAAAATTAACAACATACAGAACATTCTTTTCCATTTTTTTCTTAGGAATTCATCATTTTCTTCGGAATTCATCATTTTCTTCATTTCAATTTGTAACTCCCTTATCTTTTGTTTCAGTCCATCCTTTTGTTCCTTTAAAGATAATATCTCCATTTTTGCTGCATCAAGGTCATTTTGAAGCTTCTCCAACCTACTATTTTGCTTCTTTATAAACTGCTCTTTCTCATCCATAACATCATCATAGAATCATTGAAAGTATCCACATCCAGTTTCAGATGAACCCCGTGTCATTCCAAATTTAGATAGATCAGAAAAAATAATATGCATAAGCCATTTCATTTCTTTCTTATCTTATAATGACGACAATCTCAGAATTGCTTCCCAAAATTCGTGTGAGTTGAAGCCCTTCGAAGAACAATCGTGCCTCCACAGCCACATATGAGTTTCCATCGCAAATTATCATCTAAACATCCACCGTTGTTGACCTTCGAATCGTATGAACACTGACCTGAGTACGCTAATGATGATTGCTTCTTTTTCCTCAAGCAATTACAAAATCATAAGGGGAAGGAAATTGTTGAACCCTAGAATTTGGAGGAGTCTGGGGTAGAAGAGAAAGAAATGGGCGATGCAGACTTGAAGAGAATGAAGAAGATGGCATAACATTCTACATCAGCTGCCACGCATACAAAACAAACTTCCGTTTGTGCCTTTTGGACGGAAAGGACTATTGGTCCTTTTTGAACAATTAAAAGACCACTTTAAAACTTTTAAAGATAAGGGATTAGAATAAATCAAGAGATAAAATTAAGAGACTAAAAAAGATATTTTACCAAAATTTATTCATCAAAATAATCTCTTAAAATTTGAATAGAATTATATTAAAACTAAAATAGGCTAATTAAACTCAATTCTCTCACATAAAAATACATTTAGAGGGTAACTCCTCAAAAAACAAAAATACATTTTGAAGGTAAATTCGGAAGTGACGTAAAAGCCAGTCCAATAAACCCTTACTGCGTTTCACTCCGTCGCTCCCTCCCATCCTCTCATTCACCGCCGTAGCTGCCGCCTCTCTCTCCAACTCCAAACATCTCGTTCACCGTAGCTGCCGCCTCTCTTGTTTTTCTTCATCTACTTCACCTCTGTGTCCAAATCGAAGGTAAATCTCTTCCTTCTTCCACTTCTCCCACTTCAATATTCATCTTACAAAATTATTTATTGTGTTTTTAGGTTGTGGCAATGTCGAAAGATGATTCAGAGAGTTACAAACCTCATCACGAGTTTAAGCAAGATGTCAAGGAACCACTTGTTGATCTTAACTTGACTGAATCCAATGAGCTTTGGCTGCTTAGATTGCCGTTTTCTAATGTATGCTTGTTCCTCTGCTATTCTTAGGGTTTTTGTTTTTGTTTATTTTGAATTCAATTTCAGTTATTGTTGTTGCTAATTCAATGAGTAAAGGAAAAATCACAAACTGTTGATATCAGTTATCATAATCATGTTATGACTGAAAATCATGTGTGATACGAACAACCAAAGTTAGAAGCACTAGAGATGTATTTACAATTTTGATATGATTAAGGATTGCAGTGGCAGTGATTAAAATGATTGTTTGCTTGTCTTCTCAAACCAAATAGTCTCTTAATTTATTTATGGCCAATCCTCTCTATTAATCTCAACTTCTCTGCTGTTTGAGTCATTTTGTGACTTTAAAACTGGTATTGTATGTTTTATTTTGTGTTCTTTTACTTATCAATATATGTTTGTAAGGTGCTAATCTTTAATGAATGACCCTGGAAAATTATCTTGCCTCTTGATTACCCTATTTCATTTTTTTCTTTCCGTCTTACTTTATTGTGATTGACTGAGAAGTTTCTTCAACTATTTTTGGTTTCATTTGAATCAAATGAGTTATCTGCAATATCAGTTTTTTCCATTTATCTTGAATTTAGATGATGGATGAACCTCTATTTGATCTTCTGTTAAGTCATTCATGTTATGCTCTTACTTTCTTTGTATTTTGTGTTGGCTAGGATTTGTTAGCTGACATTGACGGGCAGGAATTATCGCTCAAACTTGATAAGGACGGCACCTTGGCAAGCTTTGAGGGTGCATCTGGTAAATAAGATGAATCAATTGTTTTGACATTATAAATGCCGTGTCTCTTTTCATCCCTAATTTTATTGTTATTATGTTGGCAGGGAAAGCGTATGATTTTGTCAGCTTTGCTTCCATGGAGCCTGACGAAACAGTATTTGTTTCCTCTGCTACAGAATCAAAAATTGGTATTTTTTTTTTTTTTGAATTTTTAAAATCTCCTGTATATCTGTCATTTGTAAAGAGAGAGTGATTATGTTTTGAGTTTCAACTCCCACGACTCCTGTCATAAATGAAATAATGAAGTGTAGAAAATAGGAATAAATCCATTGCTACAAGTTTGCGATGAACCCAACAGACCAATGGGGTGTATAAACCCAATTCTAGTTAGTTGAAACCTAGTTTATCAAGCTGAATCTAAACAAAGACAACCCAATATTCTTCATTGTTTAGTAATTTTGAATCTTGTGATTTGCCAGATTGTCCGATAATTTTGAACTTGTTATCTTTGTGTGTGTTGAGTTGTGAACTTATGTTGTTATGTGTTCATCAGTTTCGAACTGTGATGCTTTGTAGGACTGTTCAAAAAACACTGAAAACCCAAACCAAACTGAATTGAACTGTTCTGATAAAAACCAAACCATTTCAAATACACGAATTTAACTGATATTTCAAATACACGAATTTAACTGATATTTCAAATACAGTTCAATAGCTTGAACACAAACTGAACTGATATTTCATACACAGTTCAATAACCTGAACCAAGCTCAAAAAACCCAAACCAAACCGTGTGAGCTGAACTGCTAAGCCCCACTTATTTTCACTAATTTAGTTTATGGTTTATAGATTTTCCATACCCCTATTCCTTAATCTGAAACAACTTTGCACAACCTTCATCACAATTTGTGATGGGAGCAATACTTAATATAAGTACTTCTCAATTCTATAACCATGCTTAACACTGGTCCAGTCTTAAATCCATTCTTATTTGAAGAGATTGTTTATTATCTATGAATAATTTTTGCTATAGATTTGATGGTGGAGATTTGGAACACAATAGAGCTATTAATTCACTTATGAAATCAACCAATATCTTTTTGTTGTAGCCATGTGGGCGGTTATATCCCTTTGTTGTATCTGGCCATTTTTTTGTCATTATGTCTAACTCTCTTGTTCTTGTTAATGTTGCTATAGTATACTTTTTGCGTTCAACCATTAAAAGGAATCATTTCTCTTTTCTACAGCTGGAAAGATTTCACGTCGTGTTTCTGTTGTCCATTACCATGATCCCAAAGAGCTCGAAAAGATTAGTACAACTGATGCAAAAAAAGCACTTCTAAATTCTATAGCCGCGACTCCCGGAAATTTTTCACGTGCTTCAGCATCAAAAGGTAGCAGACTGAAGAGCTCATTATCTGAATTTTCTGAACGATCAAATACTCCAAAAAGAAGACCGCGTGGGAACAAATCTAATGCAAAACCTCCTGAATTATCCCGTGGTCACAACTCCGTCGCTTCTGCAATCTCTTCTGATCATTCTCATGGAGGAAAGTCAAACGCGTCTGCGATCTCTTCTGATCATTCTCATGGAGGAAAGTCAAATGCTTCCGCAATCTCTTCTGATCATTCTCATGGAGGAAAGTCAAATGCTTCCACAATCTCTTCTGATCATTCTCATGGAGGAAAGTCAAAGAGAAGAAAACATACGGAGTAATGTTTCCTTCACTTGATATATACTTTCTCAGGACCGCATTAATATCTGAAATTAATACACTTGCAAGTACTTGAGCTATGTTACCTTTTCTGTTTCTTTTCTTCTTTTTCATTTTTTCAACTGGTGTAACTCACTATCATTGATTTTCACTGTTACCATTTTTGTGTTAATACACGTGGTTAATGCAAATGGGAGTATTCAATGAATCCCTAATCACCCATTGAATTTTATAAATCATTATTTTTGTTATTAATCACAATCGTAGGACACCAAAAAATGATCTTAATCAAGTTCAATTTTCTACCATAGATAGCAAAATTTACGAGCTGAGCATGCACGTTACAAATTGTTTTTCAATGCAAAAATGAAAGAAAAAAAAATTAGGTGTATTTTTCATTGTTGTTATTCAATTTAGTGCATGTATACCCCTAATATTCATGCACGTTACAAATTGTTTTTCAATGCAAAAATGAAAGAAAAAAAAATTAGGTGTATTTTTCAATTGTTGTTATTCAATTTAGTGCATGTATACCCCTAATATTCATGTTATTCATAATGTCATTTACGAAAAGAAAAACAATAATATAAAAACTCCATTTGCTGGTTTCATCTGGTTGGCAGTGGCTTCATCAAAGAGTCACACTTTGGTACTTGCAAGCTCCATAACCTTCAAAAAGGAAAATTGTACAAAGTATGGATCAACACTAATTTAAATAAACCATAAAAGAAAAAACTAGCCATAAACTAGTTTATTTAAATCATTTGTAAATATTATCTTTATCAACAAAACTAGTTTCTAAGATTTTATAAGCCCTCATTTTTAAAATTAGTAATAATTACTTGTAAAATGGGCTTTCAAAAACTAAAACAAATTTTTTTAATATCTATGTCTAAGAAGGAAGTTTAAAACTTAAAAAAAAAAAAAAAAAAAAACTTACTTGGATCCTTTGCAATTTGGATGGCAAGACCATTGAAATTACAAGTTCCACCCACATGTCTAAACTGAGCCCAATAAGAACTAAACGCATAACTAGCATGATCCACCACTGAATTGGGTTCAAAACACGGTTTCCCGGGTTGAACCGAATCACATGTTTGGTTTCCTTGTGAGCAAGCGTATGACAATGCCTCCACAACGGCCGTCTCATTCGCTCCCTCCACCACCACGCACCATACCTTTCCTTTATAATCATTCGCTGGGGGCAATGTCTTAAACTCCGACTCTAGAGTCTTGCCAGAAAGGTCAATCTCATAAATATTTGACCCGTTCGGATATAATAACCCAAAGTGACGCTCTGTCCCCAAACCCGGTTTCAAGTTTTCATTAAACAAAGCAAAAATAAATGATGGTAGAACTGAACCAGGTCGAGCCGGTGTCCCTATATGAGGTTTTTTCGTAACTTTCTTCACAAAGTTTCTATTATATGTTGCAGCATTGTGAATATTCGCACCAATTTGGTCCAAGTCACCACCATTAGGCCAACCCGTTTCAGCAATAAAGATCCGAATACCCGGAAACCCTAATCGCTCCATTGCATAATAAACCGCATCCACCATTTGATCAAATAAATTAGTATAAACCAAACCTGTATTCGGATCCGTAACCGTGATATTATCCGATTCAAAAAGAGCATAATTCAAGTTAATATTAATAGGATCTGAAGTCCAAGCAAAAAACGGATAAACATCCAAGAAGAAATAAGAGTTGGTAACATGTAAGAACTCCAACATGGGTTTAATAACACTAAACGCAATGTCATTTCTAAAAGTTCCATTTGAAGGTGGAAATGATGCTTGTAAAACATCCATTGCTGAAGTGGTTCCAACTTTGATTTTAAGCAAACCAAAGATAGATAAGGAGTGTTTGATTCGGTGCATCGCAGGTACAATGTGAGGCCATGTTTCGTTTGTTGTTGAGGAAATGAGTTCGTTACCGACGAGAAGATAACGAATGAGTGTTTTTGGGTAAAATGGTACGAGGTTTGATTGGATCCATTGGTTTGAGAATGTTTGGTTTAAGGATATGTTGGTAATGAGTTGATTTGGTAACATGATTGAAACTTGGAGTCCAGTGTTTTCGAGGGCTTTAAGGATTTCTGGATTTGTGTCATAGATTTTGACACGTTTGGCTTTGAGGTTTTGGATTAGAGACACTGAAGTTGTTGGTGTTGGAAGATTGTTACCTAGTTGTCCATAGTTTACTCCAGGTTGTTCTGAGATTTCTCCACCTATGGTGTCATGTTAGAAATTTGAGGTTAGATAAAAACACTAGATTCTATAATAAATAAAACACACACAATTTGTGATTTTGGTTTGTGTGAAGGGAAAAGGGAAAGTTACTTACTTGATGTGATGAATAAGGAGAAGATAAGTAGAGAAATCAGAGCCACAACCATTGCTTTCATTGATACTTTTCTTGGAGCTGCTCAAGTCAAGAGATTATGTTTTGATACTTTAACAATCTCAAATAGCCTTAATTTTTGAGATGTGTAAAAGATTGAATTGAAGGGGTGATTATAAGGCAAAATTAGAGATTTGGATCAAGATAACATGGTTGACATGTGAGAAGATTAAGTCTTCAACTCTTGATCATTTATTGCAATTGGAAATATCAAACATTTTATATTTGATTTCAAGTTGTTTTCTTGTTGAATGGTTGTTGGAAATAATATTATCTTAGTCACAATTTCAATTATTATTTGATTGCAACTGATGAGTTGTATGTACGTGGCAGCAGAAGTTTGACTTAAGGAGTTGATGACAAACGGAATTGGAGTGCTTTTCTATGTTCAATTTGGTGCAAGAAGCTTTAAAGTCTTGCATAAAAATAAAAATAGAAAAGAGAATTTCTCTTTATATCTAGTACACTTCTTTTAAATTTCTCATGAAAAACTCAAAAAAAAAATTTAGAATTCAGATATGCATATCTGAACGTATCACTAACTTTTTTTTTTGTTAAATTTACTTCAGATATTGTGTTCATACTGCTATAATTTATTGCAACTAGTATATTTAAATTTCCGGATATCATCTAAAATTAAAAGTAATTATAGACCGTGTCACCAAATTTACAACAGTAGATAAACTTAAATAAACTCATAAAAAATTTATAATGCATACCTATTACTTTTCAACTCTAGGTTTGTTGCTTATTATCCTTTGTAAATTGCATAAACATGATAATCAACTCATATTCCTTGATAAAGGCAAGACGCACAAGAAATCGCCAGAAAAATTGAAAATAACAACAAAAATTGAATTACATCAATTGGGTGATCAAAAGTTACACCTAGATTTTATAAAGTAGAAAAAATGTGGATTGTGAAGTTGAACTACAAAGGCAAAAATAGGCCATTAAAAGGATTCAACATGAAAAGGTTTTTTATAGAACTGCAGTAAAAGAGATGAAGAAACCACGCTAAGAGAAGATGCAGCCATGCAAGCACCAGCAAGCCATGGTGGCAATCTGATTCCAATAAATGGGTACAAAACACCAGCAGCAATTGGCATGCCTAAAATGTTGTAACCAAGAGCCCAAATGTAGTTCAGTCTGATACGAGACATGGTCTTTCTAGAAAGATCTATGGCTGTAATCACATCTTCCAGGTTGCTTTTGACCAGAACTATATCAGCTGCTTCTATAGCTACGTCTGTTCCAGCACCGATTGCCATACCGACATCAGCAGCAACCAAAGCTGGAGAGTCATTTATTCCATCACCTACCATTGCCACAGTCATTCCCTTCATCTGCATCAAGTTTTAATTAAAAAAATCAGAAATCAGAAAGTGTTTGTATTTTTGTCAGACTATATCCGATATTGTGTCTTATGTCATTTTATAACCAAGCTGTGTCAATTATATCAGTTCATCGTATCAAATTGAAAAGAAAAAAGAAACAGGTTTTAGCATGAGTTTCATATAGCTGGCTCAGAAGCTTTACCTGCAATTCTTTCACCTTATCTGCTTTGCCTACTGGATCTGTTTCAGCAAAGACCTGGTCAATACCAACTTCATTTGCAATAGCAGTTGCAGTAGCATGGTTATCTCCAGTCACGATGACGCTTGTGATACCCATGGAGTGGAGAAATTGTATAACACGTTTAGCCTCTGGCTTTACTGGATCAGATACAGAGAATGCTCCAGCAATCTTTCCATTAATTGAAACTAAAACACAAGTTCTAGCCAAATTCTCATTTTCAGAGATGTACTTTTCAGCCGCGGAAGATATTGTAACATTAAAAGCATTCATGAGTCTCCTGTTTCCAACTAAAACTGTTCTATCACCAACTTTTCCACTTACCCCGGCTCCCATGTGTACCTCAAAATCAACAACATCTGGCACTTCCTCAGGGCAAGAACCGGACTTCTTGCGAAGGTTTTTTGCGTGCGCCACAACAGCTTTTGCTATCGGGTGTTCGCTACTTGCCTAAAAATGTGTACATAAAATTAGATTATTTATTATGGAGAAGTGTTAATTAAGACATAGATTGGATAAGATTCGGTATCATTGAAAATTGTTGTTTTTCATTTCACTAAACAAAATTGGAAACCTGATTCTATATAGCTTTACAAATATTACATTGGTTGAGCGTGGATGAAAAAACATGGTTGGGTGGAGACCACATCAAAGGTTGCCAACAAGGTAATCCGACAAACATTATTCATAGGCAAAGTTGGTGGTTACTTTGTAACTATGATATAGAAGAAAAAAACAATTTGATTTCTTTTTCTGTATTCTTAAATATCTTTCGCACATGTTCTAAAAATGTTAATAAGAATAGCACTACATAAAATTTGCAGCTATCTAAATAAGTACAGTATGCAGCATAAAAAATACCTCCACCGAAATTGCCATGTCACATAACACCTCCATAGAAAAGTCAGGAAACAGCACTGCACTAACTACAGCTGGCTTCCCAACTGTAAGTGTCCCGGTCTTATCAAATACAATAGTCTTTACCTGCATCGAAGTTGGGAACAATGAATAGGATTTTATTTTAATAAAACATGGTGAAATTTCAGGAATGTGTTGCAGATTAGAATCAAATAAACACTACTATGTTATGCACAGCAATCTTAGCACCCCAACAAAATTATAGCTTTGATGATGATTTTAATGCAAACTGCACAAGTAACTTGAGAAATTTTGAATGTTACTTACCCTTCAATATCTAGTTATCACGGTTCAAACATTTAAATCCTAATAAACAAAACTAGAGGGAAAGGTTCACGTGTTGTGTTAAAACTACAATAAACTTCAAATTAGTATATTCTCCTAATGTGAGAACAATTTACATAAAACTGAAGATATGAAGCAACTGAAAATTGAAATATCATAACCTTGTGTGCCTTCTCCAGTGCATCTCCACCCTTGATGAGCACTCCTTGAGAAGCACCTATGCCTGAAGCCACCATGACTGCTGTTGGTGTAGCTAGACCCAAAGCACATGGACAAGCAACAACTAACACAGAAATTGCAAACTGCAAAGCAAGCTCAAATGCATCCATTCCTTTTGGTATCCAATGTTTGGGGTAAAACCCCGCTTCCCCGGGAATAAGCCACCCCAGCCAAGTTGTGAGTGCTATAGCAACCACCTAAGAATGCAACCACGAAGTAAGCATCTTCACAGGGATAATATATTGTAACTATCATTGCAATGCTGATACGGTATCTTAATTATCCCTTCATTTTAAGTCGAATAATGTTTCTTAAATTTATAGGCAACAAGACAAAGATAATAATCAAGAATAAAATATGAAAAATCGGTTTTTAACTTTTAGCTTTGACACTTGGAATTTCAATTCATAGGGCCGTAGTTCAGATCAAATATATAAAAAATTATAAGTGAACTGATTGCTTTATTAATTCCATGTTATTGGAACAACAATTCTCTGTTACACTTACACAACTGTTGTGTCATGTGTGGCATAATTAACAGGATTTCACTCTATTTATTATTTAATTTAATAATATTTATAGATAGGTTTCACCATAGTCTCTTCTAATAAGGACCGATTTGATTTACATACCAGTTCTTTTGCTCTTTTTCAACTGCAGCCAAACAAGAAAGTTGGAATTGCAAAGTCCAATTCCAATGCTTTATTTCAAATCCAAATCCACTCATCAACCAACACAGAAAAGTATAATTTAGGAAAAAAAATACTCACAATTGGAACAAAAACCCTTGAAATATCGTCTGCAAGTTTTTGAACTGGTGCTTTGGCAAGTTGAGCAGTTTCTACGAGTTGAACAATTTGAGAAAGGGCAGTGTCTGATCCAACATGTGTGGCCTTAACCAACAAGCAGCCATTTTCATTGATTGTTCCACTGATAACCTGTTAAACACATATTGAAAAATTAAAAATGTTCTCAGCACTCTATCATGCTACCTTTACATAATTTAAACCATTGGATTTTTTTTAGAGATTGTCGCATTTCCCTAGATCCCCCTTCCCATAAAAAAAGAGTAAGATGTCAATCCAATTTGTCTTTCTCTGTTTACAATACATCACAGACTACATTCACTCTCTCACTTTTTGGTTACACCGTTTTGGTTTAGGGTTTAGGTGTCGGTCTAAGTCATTCCCAATCCTATCTTTCATAGAAATCTTATGTGCACCTTCATTAAAGTGTTTGCCATGAATTTGTTGGATTTCTCCTGATCTCTAATTCATAATATAAAAAAAAACAAGTCAAGGGTCCTAACGCATGTATAAGAATACCTTGTCTCCTGGACTTTTGGCAACGGGTCTTGCCTCCCCTGTGATCATACTTTCATTTGCATAGCTTTGCCCTTTTATAACAATACCATCGATAGGAATTTTAGCCCCAGGCACAATCTTAATTATGTCATTCTTTTGAATAAGTTGAGTGTCCATTTCTGTCTCTGTGATGATGTTTGCATCAGTGTCAATTACTACTAAATAAGCTTTATCAGGAACAAGTTGTGTTAGCTTTCCTAAAGCATCTGATGTTTTTCCTTTAGCCACAATCTCCAAATACTTTCCTAATAGAATAAAGGATATTAACATGGAACTGGTCTCAAAGAAATCTTGTCCTTGAAATGTATCTGAAGTCAGCGCTTTTATTACAATATATAAGGAGTAAAAATAAGCAGCATTAGTGCCTAACGCAACCAGCACATCCATGTTAGCAGATCTTCTCCTCAGTGCATGATATGATCCCACATAGAACCTAATAACAGTAATAACAATAGCCATTGTAAAATGATGTACAAACATGTATATCTAGAAAACAGATACATTTTAAACCATCGTCTGGCTAATAAATAATGATAAAGGAACACGAGTCAGTAAACAGTTATTCGTATAATAATAGTACCTTTTTCCAACTATGAACTGCACAGGTGTGCTAAGGATCCATCTTAAAAACAAT